AATTTAAAAGCAGTAGAAAAACATCCTTCCCTTTGCTTTCAGGCCATACAGAGAAAGCATCTGTAGGCAGAGTTATCTTCAAGCAATTTTTCTCCACATTCTCATTTTTCACAGACAGTAATCCCAACAGAACTCATTCCAATACACTGATGATCCAATTCATTTTCAATATTATAGTATCCTTGGCTGATTTTTTTCATCTCATCTGCCCTGACAAAACTAGTAGATCTCCTTTTGGGATGTGTTCTTGTATGTTTACACTTTATGGAAAGCACATTTCCAAGTTTTTCGAGTTTAAGAGTGGGCTCAGACTTTTCCAAGCCTGTGAATCACAACAACCAGCTTTAGGACACATTCAGACTCCTGCCTATCACTGTCCTTAAGCCTTAGTGACAGATTCACAGCTCCCATCAAAAGACCATAAGCAAACTGCATCTTTATTGTGACTTGCCTTAATACTGCCCAGATAACAAAGGCAAAAGATCATTCAACAAACACCCTGAATAGGAGGATCTCACATTTTATCTGTTAAAAAAAAAAAAAAATTAAAAATAGTGCCTACATAATAATGGGGTTGGAGGGCTGGGCTATTTTTTATGTGTATGCGTGGGATTAAAATAAAAAAAAAGGCCATCAGTTGATACTTTTTTACTACTTTTATCTGAAATGCAAATGCTTTTGAGTATTTATCAACTATTATAACTTTTTAACTGGTATAATTTCCTCAAATAACTGTCATCTTTTTGGTTCTATAAATTAGTATTCCTTCAAAACGAACCAATTTCCAACTTCCCTGGAAAATTAATGTTAAACTCTGACCACAGTTCTCTAAGGAGAACATCTCCAAGTAGCTCACAGACAGGACAGACTGCCACAGAAGAGGCCTGTGTTTAAAATTAGGAACAAGAAAGCAAACAACATCTCACATGATACTTCCAGATACCTTGGATCACATGAGGCATAAACATTTAAACCACTCCTGACATCTAGCCAGCTGACCATACAAACATGCACACCTCAATTAGCAGTCAGCAGGAATTCACAGGCAAAGCTCTTTTACATGTAAATCAATTATTAACAAACTTCATTTAGGTGTCTTTCTAGAAAACTTTAGCCAAGTACCTAACAAATTGTTTGCAGAAGGTATCAGAACATTGATATAGTAATTGTGTTGAGTCAGCTGTAAAAGGTAAAGAGTTCAGGGAATCCAATGCTGGTCTTATAAGGACGGGTTATCAGCTCCAAAAGCTTCTAACACGTGAGATAGTATGCTGTGATTATCCAGGGACTGTATGAGAAAATGCAGGAAGAGCAGCCACAAAATAAACTACTTCTCACGAGCATTACAAGACAAGCCTGTCGAATATAACCAAACTGAAGTGCAAAAAAGTTATGATTCATGTAAACATGGAGCAGATACACAGAATATGTATATATTTAGTAGATATTGTCAGTAGAACAGTAGTATTTGGTGGGTTATTTTGGTTCTTAAAGGAGATTTTTCTGTATAAATATATTGTCCTGGCTAAATAGAAAACTCTTTAAAAAGGCACAAAAGCAAATCAGTATCTTAATTAGTCCCCTTTTCCCCAAAAACACTTGAGAGAGGAATCCAAGATAATCACCCTAGATTTTAATGAGCATTGTGCCTGATATTCAGCCAGGACTCTGGACATAAGGCTTTGACTTTTGCCTGTTTCTTCTCCTGTAGAATCACTGCTATCTGAATACACTTGATGCTTTGTTATCCAAATCTCAGGGAGAACTGAGCGATTGCATTGCAGTGTTTTGCTGGCAGTTACTGCCCAGGACAGTTTGGTCCCTGTTATGTACAAACATGAGCTCCAGGCACAGCAGCTCCTGTACTGAGGCACCCTGAGGATGCAGAGCCCAGGTTAAAAGCTAACCTAACCCAAACCGTGTGCTGCCACTCTCCACATCCCTTGTGCCAGCTCCTCCATTACAGTAGTTCAATCACCACATTAATCACTTCTCCTAAACGTGTTCCTGTTCTCATCCATTAGCAAGTCAAAGGACCCCATAAAGTGGCCAATAAGCAGGCACAAGGAAAGCTGGGTGAGCCTGAGCTCTTAGACTGGCCCAGCTTTCCACAGAACCTCCCTTCACCTGAGCCAGTCAGGGCCCTCTACAAATCTGGGACCTGCTGCCACCACAGCCATGGCCAAGAGTTACCAGGCTGTATTCATGCAGCTCGTGTATTTTCAGATGTGATTTCTTGAAGCAGTATTTTTGTTGGTGCCTGGGCAGCAGAACACAGTTACCCCCAAGCAATGCTCCTGCAAGGCACTGCTCTGCTTCCTCCTCCAGGAGTTGGGTAAGCACAGGCTGCAACTGCAAAGTGAGGTCACTACAAAAAGTTTGAGAGCAAGCTACACTGGGTCTTGTGACCATCACAGGTCTAAAACACTTATGAAATGTCATTATGTTGACAACATTCCTTTAAACAGCATCTTTTCTTTCCTTATTCTTTAAGATCAGGTGCCCATGTTGCCACACACAGAATAAGACCAAACTTGTTAACTCGTCTTTCTACTGAAGGGTTTTAGCTTCCAAACAAACCAAGTGCTTTGATCATGAGATCCTGCTTACTACAAGACAAAAACATATTTACAAACTGAACATATATGAGGAATTAGGAATCTAGATGCCAGCCTGATAAATCAGGGGAATCAACTCTGTATTCCCATCTTGTATGGGCTCCAAAGTCATCTCAGGCTTGTATGGGCCTGTATAATGCAGCCCTGCACACGCTTCAACGTCCTTTTCATCTGTGTTTCCAGGCAATGTTTTTCTTCCCTCTCTCAAGCACCTGTGTTAAGCCAGCACTCAGAATGCTTCCCTAAACAATTCCACTAAACCCTTCCACCATCCTCATGGCAGTAATTCCTAAAAAGCTTATCTTAACATGTCACATACGCAAGAAGGGTGAAGAAAAGGTCACAAAAAGTTAACTAAAATCAAGATGAGAACATTTCATCCAGAACCAGCAGGTGACCGACAGTTACTCCTTCCTCTCCTTTGTTTGTTTGACCTTCACTGCCCATGCCATGTCTAATCAAAACTAAGTCCTTACTGCAGGTGTTTTTACAACACAAGTAACTGCTCTAAATCAAAAAAACATAGTATTTTACTATAGGAAGTTACAGCAAATCACTCCCTAAGAGCACCTGCTTTCTCAAACATACAGGCAGCCCAGAAACGTTACTTTACGTTAGAACCCACTGAATCTTCACCTTCTGGACAGGTGAGGACCAGGCAGCAGAAAACAGTAAACTTTAAAATGCAGACACTGAAGAGAATAGCAAGAGATGCAAGTTCTGTAGTGTTTGATGAAAATTGCTGGTTTACAACAGCAAGACAGTCTGTTGTAAAGCACTCATTGATAAATGTGTGCTCAGGCAGAGCATTCACCAGAATGTCTCTTAAGAAAATGTAGGTCAGCCATGGTTCTTAAAACCATCCTTAGGGAACATATGTACTTACAGTAGGTCCATCAGTAGTAACTCCACGCTTCTAAAATCAGTATTGCTTCCAAATCTTTGATTCCTTCACAGCTAGAGTTCAAACTGGATCAGCAACTAACACACTATCACCTTTGTCATCAAGAAGCTTGTGCTGAAGCAAGTGCCAAGGCCCATTACTAAAACCCAGCATTATGGAGTGGAAAGATGGGATAAAAGCTTGTTTCTAACTTCCTCAGGCAGAATTAAAAGAACTTTTGTTTAGGTTTCAACTCCTACCCCTTAGGACATCCCTTTGCAGTTTCTACTTCCAAATCTACATCCTGACAGTCAGTCCAGCAGTCTGTGAAGAACTGTGGATTCATACACCCTGTTCCTGAGACAACAAGAACGTTTTTGAAGATGCTGTGTTAGAATTTACCCTTTTATGTCAGAAGTTTGTAATAGTACTAATGAAGTCAACATCAGAGCCTAAATTATTATCAAGACATGGACTCAAACTGAACAGCATGCCACTGATTATCCTTTTCCCAATATTTTTCCCCTTTTCTTACTTTTTCTTCCCCCCTTACCATTAAGGCTAATCACATAATAAGCATGTGCAGCATACTGAATACATTCACAGGACTGCCTACTGACACTACTGCCACCAAATGCACTTACTGCCTTGGAATGGTTAAGAATTACAGTTTCCATAGACAAGTTATTAAAGCATTTAAAATTTATTTACAATTCTCATCAATAGATACAAAAATCATCTAACACATATTACTAACTATTATACGAATATTGCCTATATATTCAATACAAACTATTTTGTGTTAACAGGTGAAACCACAGGCCAGTAGTGAATATTCATTTTTCATGTTTGAGCCAATTATTTTTTAAATACGTGTAGCTCGACTGCTGGAACACCCAATCACTCCTCTTTCCACGTCTGATTCCAGCCTCTTTCACGGAAGGTTCACACAGAGGAAAAACTTAAGGAGCGAGGGTCTGGCGTGAGTTACTGAGCTGGAGGTGTATCAAAGCGAGCCGTGTACTTGGGCGCACCCGGAGCGCTGCCCGGCCCGGCCCCGCGGCCCGAGCTACGGGGCGCCCCCGGAGCGGCCGCTCCGCTCCCCGCTGCTGCAGCCCCTCAATGCCTGGGCAGCGCCCCGGCCCCGCGGTGCCCGCCGCCCGCCCCCCGGCTCTTACCCAGCACCACGGGCGGCCCCGCGGGCCGGCGGCGCGGCGTTCCCCCGCCGGGGCACGGCAGCAGCAGCAGCAGCGGCAGCAGCAGGAGGCCGAGGAAGGGGCTCCCCGCAGGGCGCGGGCCGAGCCTGGCGCGGGCCGGCGGGGCCATGGCCCCAGCGCATTCCCCCGGGGCCGGCAGCGCTGCCGCGGCCCGGCCGGAGTGCGGCCCCGCCGCCCGGACCCGCACTAAAGCGCCCGCCCCGCCCCGCCCCGCGCGTCAGCGCCCAGCGACAGCGGCCACGCCCCGACAGCGGCCACGCCCCGACAGGCCCCGCCCCCGGAGAGCCCTGAGGGGCCGCCCGCGCTGAGGGAGGAGTGCCTTGGGGCCGCACCGCAACATCGACGCTCGTGTGGTCGTGGTGACTGCTGAAAGTAAGGCCGTTTGCTGCAAAACATGTCTAAAAATAAGTAGCGCGTGAGGGGCTTGGTCAGAATGGTTTAAAGGAAAGCAAAAGTTCTTGGAAGAGCTGGACGTTAAACAGTCAAGGGAGTGGGCATCTGATCAGTCAGCACCCGAGTAACGTAACAGGTAATTGGTACAGTGTCCCCGAGATCAGGCATTTGATAATACCGGGGGAAAAATCATTAGACCTCTGTAGGTGTGACAAGTACAGATAGATCTGTAATTACATTAATTTAAACCAGAAGGGCTGTGGGCCTCAGTGCTTCAGCAGTGCCGGTTGGCAGGGGCTGTGGGCCCGGTCTGACATACGGGTCATTGGCGGGTCTCTGGCTGAGGAGGGGCAGCAGGAAGGGGATCCACAGAAGCAGAAACTAAACAGAGGCAAAAAATGGAACTTGGAAGCAGTGTAATCACATCTCGTGATCAGTCATGGTTGTGCTGATGGGCAGTACAAGGTTTCCTTGATTCACTCATATATCCGCTCCTGCTGAGGAAATACACATTCTGAGGTAGATGTTATCAACTTGTGCTCAGGGTAAAGCTATTTCTGATAAGGTTACTTTGCCACAAGGGCACTACTGTGTCTACTTCACAGCTCCCTACATCCCTCAGTATGTCTGCTAATTTTCAGAAATATTCCTGCCTTGAATGCTTAATACACTGGCATGAACAATGTCACAAATGAAGACATGAGAGTAAAAGACAAGTAGAAGTACACATTGTCAGGTATAAAACTGAAACTCTTCTTACCTCACTGAATTCAGTATTCAACAACTTTTGTAATTCCTGAAGAAAGTCATCCCAGAGGTCTGTGCATGAAGGCAGAATCTGGTAAAACAGATACACAGCCTATTGACGGGAGTTTAGAAAAATGATGTTGGCTCGGCATTGACGTGGAAGGAGAGACATCTTTCTCCTGAAATCAGACTGAGGAAAAAATGCAACAAATGATACAAGGAAGCTAAGGCCAAGTCTAAATCTAGACTTGCCTTTTTTCTAGGCAGCAGCCACACCTCGTGTATTTACATTCAACAAACCCAAAGACAGGTGCTTAGTCACCATGCAAGTGGTGACATGAAATGACCTCCTACTAAAACAAACTACCGCGTGTGCACGTATGACTGACTAAAACCAATTGCAACAGTGAAGGTGGTGTAGCAATTAAATGTTACAAAATGCAGCAAAGGACCTTATGGAAGGGTAAAACAGTATTTAAAAGAAAACATGTTTCAGGCACAGTCATTCTCTCATACTCAAAAGCCTCAAAATGCACATGTCCAAATAGTCTGGCCAGGATCACTTGTCCTATGACACAGGGTTCATGGGATGACAGCTGTCAAGTCTTCTACATCTCGTGGGTTCCCTTGGGTGGCATCAAAGCAGTTTTGGGACAGATTTTCTGTGCCTTTTAGGAGAGAGTTATTATGATTTTTTTTTGTCTCAGCCTAATTTCACCCTCTGTCAATTTTGGGCAAGTTCATTGCCTGTTGTCTTCTTTCTGCAGAGCTGACAGAAGAATCACCCCTGTGATTTTCTGTAAAATTGATGCCATCTTCCCCTTACCAGAAGGCTGGTCTTCTGCTGCTAAGACAGTTCTGCTGTAGGCCTCTCAGAACACAGGCCTTTTGATGTACACATGCATTTGTCAGCATTTACAAGTATAATTGCTCCATTTGTGTCCTTGGTTATCACATATGTATCGTTTCTGTAAGCATTGCCTCATGGATTCTACTCAAGATGTCACACAGGCACATTTCCATACTCAATTCAAACCAGTCTTAATATTTACTTCACAAATCTCTGTGCTGTTCTGGCAGCTGGGAAGGTCTTCACACTTCACTAAAAATCTTTACATCTAATTCTTTTTCAGGAAAAGTCCACTAAGCACATAATAGCTCCTCCTCCTGCTCTGCAAGCCCAGGCTCTTTAGATAACAGTCTTGCAGCTGATGAATCAAGTAGTGTATGTTGGTTATTTCTTGATGTCTCCTTTTGGGAGGTCAGGACTATTCACATTCAAAGACATTACATTCGAAGTAAAATAAGCTTTTTGCCTTTGGAAGGTTGTTTAAGTGTGCCCAGCAAACTTCTGTTTGCACATTGAGTCCCTGGTCCTGTTGTCACGCACACCAACAAACCCAGGAACCTGGACGTGCATCATTGCTTTCCAGGAGATGATACCCTGCTATTAATTGAGTCAGTGTAACTATTGCCAGGTGCTGTTTTGTTAGAAGGGCAATCCAGCTCTTTCTCCACACAGAATGACTTGACAGCAGGGCATTTGTAGACTAACAGCAGTTCAGGAACGTGACCAGTCATTTTCCAAGGCAAATTCAAAAAAATAACAGAACCAACTACACATCTGAACTGCCAGTAAAATGCCAGCCAGCTTATTATTATATAAAGTACATACTATATACTGCTTCCTTCACATACGTTCTATCCAAAGCTGGCTAGAAATGAAAAAGGAAGTTATTACAATTGAAACTCCTGATAAAAACAGTACCACATCTTTTTCACTTCTATGTGAACTGAAAAAAAACATTATCCATACTTCAGAGGCCAGTTTGTTACCACTGTAGGGATTTTTTTTAATGTGCATAATCAGTCTAATAAGAAAATATTCATTTCTTAAAAAAAAAAATCACCAGAAATAAACAATATTAAACACCAGAAACTACAGTATCAGTAACATTATCTTTGTTTAAGTCTCCATGAGGGCTTGCACTGGCAACTTGACAAAAACCATGAATTGGATATGAGTTTGCACACTGGTTACTTGAAAGAAACAATCCTTTCCAGAAATCTACTATTTGCTTAAATGTCTTTTATTTGATTGAACAGAATTCTCTGTTTGCTTCTGATCCTTACCATTTAAGTGGTGTTTGCATTGGCTCAAATCCCCTCAAACACGACTGTGCTGAGCTCGACACATGAGCAGAAAACAGCCAGTTTCAAAGACAGATGTGAAGACAACCCAAGTGTTGTCACACTGCTCTGTACTCACATCTCAGCACAGCAGCACAGTCCCAGGACATGCTGTGACATGCATGTGAACCGGGGCTGCAAAGGCACTTCTCCCTTTCACTTCTCCTGCATCCTCAGCACTTCACACTCACTTCCAGATTGTTCCCCACCGTGCTGCTCAAGAGCATCAGGATGATAAACAACACTTGTGTTCCTCATTGTCTTTCAGGCTAAATTTGGTTGCAGTGTCAAACAGTGACCAGAAAAAAAGAGAAGAGGGCAATTGGGTGGTGGGAATACAGAAATGCTGATCACGTGATCAGCTGGAAACTCAGAGCCTGCCTGTTCACCAGGGTAGGATATCCACAATTAACAGATCTGGTCACTGCCATCTCTCCTATCTTCAAACCTTTAATCCATATAACAGAGATCATATTACTCTTTTGGCTCATGTTTGGCCCTTGCAAACTGTCCATGTAATAGAGCTTCATAGTAAATTGTGAGGATTTAATGACTAAGAAGCTGAATTCAGAACTCGTGCTCAGTCAAAGAGGACTTTATTAGAATCTGGGAGTGAGAAATTCTCAGCAAGAATGCTGGGACTTAAGGTACTGGGAGTTTTACTCAAGATTTGTTCAGAGTTGGTGTTCTGGGTTGGGCCACCAAGGAATTTTGAAATTGAAGCTAGGCAAAATATGGAAGTTTCAAAAAAATAAATGAATGATGGCACAGGAAGATGGTGGCACAGTTACAGTTTTGTGTAGGGTGAATATATGAGAAAAAGTGTTGAAAATGCAATCTATGATGTGATGAAAACTGAGTAGGTTGAACCCTCAGGGATAGTTTATGTCTTGCACAAGTTCCCACAAATTACAACAACTTCCCAGCACATTGCGTGAGCTGTACAACCTGACATTTTCTGCTGTGCAGACAACCCTGTACCCTCTGAGGCAGAAAGGTGATTGTAATCTGCAGGCAGGGTACTTTTCAAGTGAGGAGAAGATTTGGAGAGAAAGCAGAATTCAGCATGATGTTGTTGTGAGGCTTAACATGTCTTCAAGATGAAGGGTGGCTGGGGAGGGCACCTGACATGAGTCAGGCAGCAGCATTTCAGGATTCTAGCACACATGTAATGAAAAGGCAAGAGACCACTGGTTAATAAGCACTTCCAGCCAGTGTCACACCTGCTTGGTATCCCAGCTGGGCAGGGTGTCAGGGAAGTTGTGAGAAATACAGGGCTTAGGAAATCTGCTAGCTCAGAGCTACTTCTGAAGAGACACAACACTGCTACTGCTCCATCCAGCTGATTCCTGCCAGAAGTGACCCCATTTCTGGAAACACAACTGTATCCAGAAGAACTGAAGGGGGTGTCAGTAATTTAGTTATGTACTGAGGGGGATGCTGGTCTTTGTCTAGTCTCCTTAAGATTTCACTCACTCATTTTCAGTGCTAAATTGTTCCAACACCCAAGGATGGAAAAAATCTGACACTGATCATATTTGATGAGAGAGTCCAGCCTATAGGAAACAATCTGAGAGTTCCTCTTTAGTGGGTGCATTAAAAAATGAACTGATGAGAGTTTACCTGAATTTTAAGGAATGTGTAAATTTTTTTTTCTTCATTTTATAGTTATGGCTCTTGGGATCTGAAATGTATGTGCAATCCCATTAAAAGATGCATCTGTTGAGCAAATGGTCTTCTTAGATGTGGACATGTAATGTACATAGATCGCTCATTTATTTGCTACCCTTTGAATCCAGATTATCACATTAAAAACTAGATATGAGTAGGAAAACTGACTTCAGTTAAGATCCAAATTAGACAGACACACATTTTACCAAAGTTTCTTGATTAACATTAAAACCCAAAGAAAATTAACAATATTACAAAATTAATTGTTCAGATCTGAGTTTCAATTGTCACTGTATGTAAAAATAAATGGCTACAAATGCACAGGCACTTACTGGACCATCCTTTGGGCATATTAAGTTAAAAAGTATTGCTTGCTGATTCCTGTAAGCACATAGTTCCATTCCAGACTGAGGGACACAGGCAGTTGGGAATGGTTAATCATGGGAAAATGCCTTAATCAGCAGCATCACAAGTATCACCATGTCAGGCTGTGTCAAACGTGGCAGTGCAAAAATACAGTTATAGGAAAATTAAGGTTGGAAGTGATTTTGAAGGTCATTATTGTGTTCAAATCATAGCTAGGAACAAATTTGGATCAGGGTAGTTATTCTGTTGGGCAAATAAGTGGATACAAAATGAAAATTCTAAAAAATTCCACCATTTCATATAGCACATTCCTGGTATTAACACTGAATAAAGGGCATTTTGAACAGGGGCAGTGAACTAACCTGTCATGCTTTAAACTGCATGATGATGTTCTAGAGACATCTGTGCCTGTTAGAAAGGACAAGCTTGCCAAAGGCTATCTGGACACTGTACTTTGAGAAGATGGACTGAGTGGAGCAATCTTTATTTTTTTTTTAATTCATATGCTGAAACCAGCTTGAGACACTGTAGATGTTTCTGCCATGCTACACTGACAATAGACTGACACTCTCAAGAGTTTCTTCATGGTACGGTGAAATTCATTTGACTCTCAGGGCTTGGCAGCTGGAATTGAAGCTGCTCAGATTGCAGCTGTAGAAGCAGTAGAAAATGGGTACTGCTATCATGTGACAGCAAAACAAATTTTCTGCTGAAAGCAAGAAATACACGAGTTTTCCTGGGGCAGATAAATTGGTCTCATGATTTCCTGTAAAATGTTATACGATTATGGGGCAATTTCAACTTTTCTACTTGGACCTTATCCCAACATAACTTGTAAAAACAATTTTGCTGTGTTAGTGTGTTTTAAAGGTGCCTTGATTAGCTGCAGAAAACAATTCTCTCAAAGCTTCTCTCTTACTCTCTTCTGTGGGATATTTCCTCATTTGGACAATCTGCTAGATGGTACTGATTTTTATTGTGTTTACACAAGATGATTGTTCTCAGATGACATAGAAGGACTAATAGTGTTCAAAATGTAAGTTATTTTTAAAAGTCTATTTAAATTCTGGTTTTTTATGCTTTGGCGTTGCCTTCTTGACATGTGTATAAACTTGTATAGAAGTTAGTATTACATGATGGCAATAATCTAGAAAATTCAGTCTAACTCTGTTCAATACCTCGACCAGAGGACTAGAAGGTGGCTAAAGTTTGTGACTGGATTTGTGGTTTGTCCTGATGGGGGGATCCCTGGTGCCTTGGTCAGCAGATGCTCAGCAGCAGTGTCTAACACCACACATCTCTGGTCAGACCTTGCAGCTCAAAGGACAGGAACCCAGCAAGCAGGAAAAAAACATCACCACACATTTGCTGTGTCAGAAAAGAACAGATATTAAAGAGATGCCATTCAGCACCATGGAGGATTAAATGCTTCCCACACAGTGACACAGAACGAGACACAAAGCTACCAAGAAAAGAGTGACATACACAATTAAAGCTGCCTTCCACACTGTGCCAAATAATGGCAATGGGAAATTATACTTGAGTTTTAGTGGTTTAAGCACAGAATAGGATACACAGCAGACAGAGATACAAAGCTCTACCAGATAGAGGATAACCTATGGTTTAAGGATTACAAGGTAATTGCATCATGTGAGGATTTCTATGATTGTGGAGCATCTGGAGTAAATGAAGGAAGAATGACACAGTGACCTTTGGAACAGTCTTCTAAATGCTAGAGCACAGACTGGCATTGAGAAAGACAAAAGCTAATTATTATTTTTGTAAACTAAACTAATCCACAATGTAAAAGAAAAAAAGAACGCTTTTGAGCGCAGTATGGACAGCCAAGCTGGGTCAAACAAATAGACTTGAGATGGGGGATCTGAGACCTCCATGTGACTTGATTTGTTTTGTTTTCCCTCATCAGCACACTGTGGCTTAATTGAACTCTTGAACTTCAGTCTGCTCCTCTGTCTGAAAGAGAACATAAGAGAGCTGAACGAAGAGATGATGGAAAGAATGAAGGGATGCTGAAAAGCACGGCACGATTGCTGTACAGGGTACAGAGAGGTGTATAGCTGTGTTCCTGTGTGCAGGAACTCTTCAGGCTGCAGCTAAGAAATGACGACAGATGCAGTGTTTAATTGTTCAGTCAGGGAAGGACTGTGCAAAGGGTGAACAGGGATCTGCTTTCGCTGGTGTTCCAACACATGAACTTGGCGAGCCAGATGAAACAGGAGAGCAGCAAACAACCAGAGTGAGGAGGTTCCTCACACAGCAGGGATCAAAGCTGCAGTGCTACAGCTCCACCTGAGTTCAAGGATAGGCCTAGGAAGTCTACAGAGTCCACAAAACTTTATTAAACACACAAACCCCATCCCTGATTCAGGAAACTCCTCAGCTACAAATGACTAAATGCCAGAGAACATGTGGGGCAAGTATAGTCACACATGGCTTGTTCTCATATTCTTCCCTAAGCACCTGCTTTTGGCTGCTACCAGGGACAAGATCCTGGGCTAAAAGGACTTTTTGGTCTGACTCAACACTAGAACATAAGAAATAAGACAGCCTAAACCCAGATCGTGTTATTAGGCTCAAGATTCAAATGTAGGAATAATGTATCAGATTACTTTAGAGTCCATTAGCCATTTCTTCCATTAAAATCCATAAATAATTATATTTTTTTAACTAAGAAAATTGTGCTAGCTTTTTACTTTCTGCCAGTGAAAACACGTGCTTCATTTGATGGAGAAGTTATCATTCTTCACAGCCATTTCTAATATTGTATAAAAATTCTACAGAAGCAATAGATCACATTACAGAATGATAAAAAATTACCTGTGCCTGAAGACTGCTTATCTTACACTTTTTCCCTACAATATATTAAGGGTGTGCTTAGTAAAAAGCTGTAACTGACTGCTTTTTATTTCAGATTAGGAATGCTTGGACAAGATCAGTCTGAAGAGCAGCGTGGTGCAAAGTGCAGGTGTGGAGCTGTGCAGAACAGCATGTCAGGTATGGTAATTACTGAGCACGGAGGGCGTGGGCACTCCCCTCCAAGTTTCTTCAGCTAACACACCTCCAGTGGCTGCTACAGAGCAGGACAACACTCTTTGTATTCCTCATGAAATAGTACAGCCTTTCTCATTTCAGCACGATTAACCAGCCTCCTGATAGAAGGCCACAAAACCAGGACTTCATGTCACACTAGAACCCAAGCTAGTGGTATTAAAGGAATTAAATTAGTATTGAAAAGTGCTCAAATCTGCTGAGCAGGGTAGTTTCACAACATGAGAGATCACAATTTGATCTGCTTTTCAAAAAGACCACAAGAAGATCAAATGGAAACTACACTGAAGGAGCAATTGTTAATATATTTACCAAACTTTCCAAACTTTGTTCCTTCAGAGCCATAGAAAATTAAATTTATTTAATTAAAATTCATGTTATTTTTATTGCAGAATGAGCTGCTCTTACTGTATCAGTTACAGCAGAATGTAACATTGGAAATGGATATGTATCAAAACAGAACTAAGACAGCTAGAAATAAGAGTATTTAGAAAATAATGTGATCTGCAAGACAAAAAAGGCACTGTGATTTTTATCTATAAATTTATCAAAAAATTAGAAACAATGTTGAAATTTAGTCACAACCATCCAACCTCCTAATGCAGGAGAACCTGTTCTGTGGAGCCCCTTGAAGGCCGTGCCGAGAAAGGCCTCAGGGCCATGGTCTGCAGGCTGAGCCAAAAAGCAAAGGTGGTTCCCCGGTGCCGCCCTGTGCTGAAAATACAGAACTGCACGGGCGGAGCCCTTGGCGTCAGATCAGGGTCCAGGAAACGGCGTGTGCTCGGGGAACGAGCAAAACAGCAAAACAACAGCAGAACAGCAGCAGAACAACCTCTGTCGCTGCTGCACGAGCACTGTAAAGGATGGCTTTGTGTTTTTAATCGCAGGTCCGTCACTAAGACATGCACTGCGAAAGACTTTCTTTCATCGCTCTGACGAATAACAAAAAAAGACATTGATCATACAGTGAAATAATATTTACATGCACTCCCAGTAAACAAGGTAAAATGGCCATAGGTTTAGCTAAACAATTAAAAAAAACAAACAAGTAATGTTTGGCAGCCAATCGTCCAAGTAGTATTTGTCATCACTAATTTATTACTCAAAAGGAAGAGTATGTAAATGCTGTATTTGATGTACCCAGTAGCAATTGTAGTGCCAGAGATGCTTCTGTAGATAAGGATTGTGGCCAGCAACAGTTTGTGTACATACAAATAACAGGTTAGTGATAGCCGATCCAGAGCAGGCCAAAATCTCACCCGAAACTGTAATGCATCTATACATTTCCTGTTCAAAACTTGTACTATAACAAGAAACTAAAACTGTGTACATTCATAATAATGTTGAGAAAAGATATCTAAGTTTTTCACAATCTCTGCATAATTGTTATTCTTATTCCTGCTTATAGTCAGAATTATAAATATAGTTCACTATCTTAATGAACACCTCCAATATGATGCACCTGGTATGTCTGTATTAGGAGAATATTTCCCCATGGTTTTCACTGTGGAAACATGTTCTGGCTGCCTGTGATCAGTCTGTTAGGGCAAGAGAGGTGCAAATATGTGAACATGTATGGTGTACATACAGCAGGAGCCTTGTCAAAGTTCTAAAGCAGTTTCCCCGAGCATAACAAGAAGGAAATCTTTTCTCTAGCCAGTCATATAAAACTATCATTATTCGCCACTGAGCTGAGTAAAGGATACAATTTTTTAATATCTTTTGAATACTGATTAACAACAATGTACACAGCACAGAATATTTCAAACTTCATAGTGCAAAGTACATATCTTTTATTACATTCTGGAACTGATCCCATGGTAGCTCTTCACAAAGTTATTTTCTCTGTGATAAAGCAGCACTGAGAGTGTTCTCACGCTTGCTGTCACAAAGTGTTTGCAAGACCATAGAAATGTCTGGTGTGTGTCTTTTCCTACACTGCACTTTCCTTTGCAGTAATTGCAGAGCAGAGGTATTAACAGCTGCTTTGCACCTCCATGAAATCCCATTTATATAGGAGACTCTTCTGTAATCAAGAAAGCAACATTCAGGTCAGCTGTGAACTAACCCATAGTTTTCTAATCAAGGCAAAGTGTGTCATTTTCACACCATTGAATTGAGCTTTTTGTAAAACATTTGTACAAACCCTGCAAATACTACCTTGATTCAAGGCTGAAGAACTCAGGGGTTCGGACTGGTAACGTCCTCCCCTCAGCATCAGCAGGAAACAAGGTTATAACATCAGTCCCAGCGTCTCAGCAGATCCACGATATGGGGAATCATTACAGTCACTTGCTAGACAAACTTCCAGGGGATCCTTCCGAAGACAAAATTTCAAGAGGATGTTTAAAGTCTTTTTGGCACAGCTGTTGATGTAAGTTCTGTGTTACAGATTTGCCATGCATGTAAATCCTTACAGGGATGCTCCTGACTGCATGGAGAGTGGATGCACTTTGTGCAGAGGCTCTGACCCAGAGACTCTCAGAATCTGGAAGTGAAATTCTGATTCTCAGAATAAACATGCAATTATAATTTATAAATATCAATTCTAATTTACATTTAGTGGTGCAAACACAGCTGTTTAAAAATGCTCAGTGGTGTAAATTACAGAGCATCCACCAGAGGGAAGCTCATGCATGCATTCAAAGTGAAATAAATAATTTGAAGGATGAGTGAAACACACACCTGATATTTTAGCCAAAGCAAATTCTATTCAAAGTGCTTTGTGACAGTAGCACAGACTTCTTGAGCTTGGAAATTTTTCAGAAGTTATTTGCCACTCTAAAGGTAACAGACTTACAGAAAGTTTCCTGTGTTGATGACTGAGCTGTTGCACTACATGTAAAATGCATGCACACAAAAACTTCAGGTGTTTTTTTTTAAGCACACAAGTGCAGCCTAATTTCACTTCTGTTGATGGATTAGACCAGAGCTGCTTGGTCTGAAGTCCAGATTCACGTTTCCAATCCTTACAGCCCCACCCACGTTTGGTCACAGGAGTAAGATCCTGAGTTGTTCAGCCACTGTTGTGTTTGGTGTGGAATTTGGTACTGTGTTTGCTCCCCCTATTGATGGAAACATTTGCTAAATTTTCCATAAAGTTTGTGTACTACGAATGTAAATTTGATGACAGTCAGACACTGACAGTCTGCAGTTTTTATGGTGAGCCAAGAGTCACATAGAGCTCTTCAGAAACGTGCTCCCTGGCTAACATTAATGTCTGTGATATTTACTCTAATAGCCTGTCTTTGGAGTCTTATTCAAGCAAATCTTAGTATTTCAATACTTCTCTGGGATCTTTTTAGAAACAGAAATCCCAGTTCAGAGATTCATTTGTTTTCTTGTTCAAATGAAAGGCACAGCCAGAGGCAGAGGCCATCTGGCAAGCAAACTTCAACTGAAGTGGAGAAAGATGTTTCTGAAAACTGTAAGTACAGATGCTTTGGAAGTTCAACCACACACCACTGGATTACAACTATACTAATACCAATGGTTGTACAGACAACTACTCTTTTCCAACAAAAGGTTGACTTTACTTAAAGAACCTGCCAGTCCCCGTAGCACTGTGTGACAAAAAGTACTAGGCATCTCTCTTTGTTACTTTTTTTCCCAATAGAAATCTGCATCTTAGTTTAATCTAGATAACCCACTGGCAATAAATTAAGAAATAGCCCTTATGAAGTTACTTCTGGAGAAATAATGTCTATAAAGGTGATTTCATTAGAAGAAGCAACATTGCCCAGAACTTCCTCCCATTTTCATGGGGGGTTTTCAGAAATTCCCTTTAGAATACAAACAACTTGGTTGGATTTTCCCCTACCCAATCTCTATTAAATGTAGTTAAAAATGAAAGGAACTGGTATCACGTATCAGATTAAATCCAAATTAAAATTTATTACACAAATAGTATTTTGAAGATATAATACTTCAATGGAGTTATTCTGGATTTGCTTTTGATCTCATTATACTCTTAAGAGATCAAAACCAGCTAAGCTGATTTGGGGGTGATGATGTTGCAATCCTTTTCCCATGGTGAAAAATACTTTTCAGCTTGATATTATGCACTACATTTGCCAGGTTTGTAAAATTAGGGAAATAATCTGTATCACATTCTTAAATTTAAAAAACCTATGAATAACTCTTTCATTTCTGTGAATCTTTTTTTGTGGTAAATACCCTTCCAGTTTCACTTCTGTGACTCTTGAACATTTCTCTTGGTGCTGCTGTTTTAGTTCCTCCTTTAACATTTTAGAATTTAACTTCAAAAGAAGATGTTTTGAGATCAGGATAACAAAATAGTTTCATATTCTTCGGCCAGACTCTGAAGAATTTAGGATACATTCAGGAGGACAACATAGTCATATATTTTCTCTCTGACATGGAGCATTTCCTCCTGTAAGCCTGTATCCAGACTGGATATCCTCATGGTTATTGTTGGGCTAAAGAATGGCAATTTCCCAGAGAATTAGAAATACAGATCCAACCCACTTTATTGTACCGAGGCAGTCTCACTACAGGGCAAATGTTGATTTCCTCTGTGCCAGTGTATTTCGAAACTGTGGTTGACTGTTTTCTGCTGAATTAAAAGAGATGACATGAAGGCAGTAAGCACAACATTTTATGCTTTGAAACAGAAATTCCTGTCAAACATATAATGCACATTTGTAGTTTATCTGCCACCCCTCTTATTTTTTTTGTTTCTATAAAATAAAATGTTAACTCATGTGAGCAAGAGTAGAAGAGCATAACGAGGGTTTCTGCTCACAGCTGTTGATTAGATCAGTAACTTCAACAAAGTAGTGAGTTTCTTTAAATAAGGACAGTTTAGAAAGACCAACATGCTTCAAAATCTGCTAAAGCATGATGGATGTAAAACTGAAAGCAGAGTCAGATGCTGCACTGTATTTTTACTTTTGCTTTGTATGCAAAAATGCACATCTTCCTAAACAACAGGAACTGCCATATGTGGTCAGATGTGCGTAAGAGCGAGCATTAGGGTAGGAGATCACAGGCCACATCACCCTACAGAACAGCAGTTAGAGAACTTGCTCTCCAGGAGCTCACTGACACCTTCTGCAGGGCCCAGAGCAACCAAGAACTGAAGAATTTCCAGAATGAGTCAAGCTGAGGAAAGCAGTATCCCCTCAACATGGAATATTGTGAGGTCAGTAGTCTGCATAATACTGAGCTTGTCATTTATTATTGGGACCCCTGGAAACTGCATCGTCATCTGGACTGTTTGTAGAAAAATGAAGCAAGTATCTCTTTCAGTCCTGCTGATCTTGAACCTGGCCATTGCTGATGTCCTCGTGCTGATCACTTTACCCATCTGGATTTACTCCTTTGCTGACTCGTGGGTTTTTGGAGTCACCTTCTGCAAAATATTGGTTTTCATTATTTACTGCAGCATGTATGCAAGTATATTTCTAATTACAGCACTGAGCTTGGAGAGGTTAGTGGCTGTGTTTTACCCTTTCACAATTCAAAGATACAAAAGAAAAGAAAAGATTTCTTTAATCATGTTCCTCATTTGGTTCCTGTCGATTACTTTTGGCATTTCTGTCATTCCATTCCAAGAGACAGAGGAAATGAACGGTCAACTGCTGTGCACGTGTCGCAGCTACTCTTCTAACAGACAGAAGGTGTCATATCTTCTGCTGGAGACTCTTGCAGGTTTTGTAATCCCTTTTTTAATTATTTGCACTTGCTATGTGTGTGTAGCCAGAAGGATAAGCAGAATGACTTACCAATCTAAGCAGCGATCAGGCCGCCTCATCGCCAGCATTGTGGTGGCCTTCATTCTGTGCTGGTTCCCTCACCACGTGTTCAACATCCTGGATATTATTTCCATTGAAATAGAACTCTCTCATGAGGAAATGTCTTTGGCACTGGATGAAATTGTAGACAAAGGAGTGTACATCTCTGGAGCACTGGTGTTCATCAGTAGCTGTATTAACCCTCTGCTTTATGCTTTTGCTGCACGGAGATTTCAGAATCACCTGAGATTTGCCAAGATGTCAAAGCTGTTTGAGCAGATGAGTCAGACTGTGACAGAGGAAGACAAGAAAAGAAGTTTGGTTGTAAACAAACAAGAAGATGCGTTAGTAGGCACAGAAAATCTCTAACAAGGAACTCAGTGATTAATCTGTGTCATTTCTTCAGTAGTCCTTTCTCCTCATTCTCTAGTTTCATTTATTAAGCAGTCCAGGGAAAGCTAGAGACAGATAAAAAGTTTTTGGTTTGGTTGGCACTGACAACCTAGTTCAGTTCATAAGTTAATATCCACATCATGAAATGAGCATTATTTCACTGCTGCTGAGAACCTCAGCAAGGTGGATAGAAGCTCAAATTGTAAGGAATACACCATTTTTACTTTCCATTATATTATTTCTGATTTCTAGGAAGTCTGTGAGCAGAAAATAACTCCTTGTGGAAAGGAAAGGCTTTGAAAATTTAAAACTCGGTTTTTCTTCAGAAAAAATCGTCAGATGGTCAAAAATCCTTATATAATCTAAAGTTTTAAGAGTCCATAGTTAAATTCTTGATATGGGTAAGAAGTTTTAAAGTTCAATAATGACATATTCTTCTGGGTAGATGGAAAATCTAAAGCTATTTTTATTCATTATTTAGGTTTCAAAATGATACTTGTTGTTTACACAGTCAAGTTCCTTTACTGCATTACCTTGTGGTAATAGGTTTGAAAAAGTCGAATGTGAAGTGTGATATGTCTCCAGAAAAAACAGGAGGTGTGAGAACTCTGTGCTGTGTGACAGATATCATCACAGACTGCATGCTATATTTGATGTCAAACACATTGCATACTTCAGTGGCAATTCAACTATTGATGTATTCAATATATACACTCTGAGTATCCTCAAAATTCTTGATTCAGTTAAGCTTCCAAAATGTCTATTAAATTATGGAGGAACTGGATCAGGCTTAGGTGGGAAGGAAGGAGAGATCCTTGATACTATTTGTAATGTGTGAGAAAATATGGTAGCAGTACAAAATATCTAACATCAGAAGAACTTCACCTTGCAACTTAAAGTGTTACTTTTTCTCCTCTTGTAGAATACAGTGGATTTCACCATGAGAAACCCATAAATTTAGTACTTGCAAGGACTTTAGTTTTGTTAATGTGTGCAAACGCACTGTGAAATACTGCATGTTATCAAGTGTTTTCTTTTGATGTTTTATTTATTTCAATTGTGCCTAACATTTTTATGCTTACTTTTCTTAATTTTTAGGTCAATAATTTGTAATAAGATCAAAATAAGATTAAGAAATATGTTGTAATTTTCTGTATCTTGTTCTGGACAGCTGCTAAATAGTTATGTTACTCATTCTTACAAAGAAATTACAAATACTAACTAGAACTTAATTTTCCAACTGATTATGTCACAACCAAGTATATTTAAGTTGTGTTAATTTAACTTGTAGACTAAAATAAACATGGGGAAGTGAAATTCTTAGCTAATGGAAAAATATTTCTCTAAACTTTGCTTATGTGTTATTCCTGCTTGTTATCAAAAAGTCATTATTTCTTCTCAATAAGAGAAAAGTCCACAGCAGAGAGGGCTTTCCTTCAATAGGATTCCTTCACTGAAATTAAAGTAAAGAAAACTTTAACAAGACCTTGTTTGCAGCAAAGAGTAAGGAACAGATGAAACCCTTCAGACTTTACCCCATCCACCTACAACTCATTTTTCATTCCACTAATGCCTCTTTAATTGTTATTAGTACATTCAGTATAACATGACATTATCTCACAAAGAAAGCAGTAACTTTAGTTATCTACCTCATAAAAAAGTGAAGTTGTATTTCCCAATATGTTGCTGAGGTAAGAGGCACTTGCTGTTGAACCCCCCAGCACAGCAGGGACTGCCTGGCCCATGGGCAGTGAGCACTGCCCTGCACTGCAGCTCTGGGCCTCGAGGAGCATTGCACAACTCACGGGGGAAACACCCAGACAAGCTTTAGTACAGGCTGCCTGAGCAGAGCTTTCCTTGCTGTCAGTCTGTGCCCTACACCTAGCAGCAATTTTCTGCCTCAATGTTCAGTTCACACGTTTTCTCCACTGCTTTTTACTCATAACTGTGCTACTAAAGTAAAACCTGTGATCCATTCAAGGAGCTAGAACTGTCTCTTATGTTCTCATCAATGGCCTTGGACAGCTGCCTCCAGTAGTCAGTCATATTTAAGAACTATATTTCTTTTGAAGGCTGTTTGAGATGTAGTAAAAGATACTAAAACAGCAACCTTAACTTATTTCACTTTTATATCGAGCAAATAGAGTTAATTCTTGCCAATGTTGGTGTGCACAGATAAAAGCCCCACTGAGTTAATATTTTTGTCAACACAACTGTCATGTAACTGGGCCCACAAGAGTCAATGTCAGCAGGGTGATGATATGTTCACATCAGGTTCAGGTGAACATCAATGTACCAGGTCTGCTGCTCCATCTGTGCCAACATCAGTGTACCAGGTCTGCTGCTCCATCTGTGCCAACGTGCTCTGGCACCAAGCAACAGGGACTGCAGTGGGCCCATTCAGCCAATGGACCTTCTCCTCTCCTAAAGTACTGAATCCCAGCCAAACCTGAGGTGTAGCACAGATTGGGTCCAAAATGCTGCATCTTATGATAATGATATTCACGCTTCTTGTTGGCTGCCTTACAAATCCATTTGACAGATTATATTGGAAGACTGGTAGAAAACAAAGATTTTCCTTGATTGTTCAAGCTAGATCAAAATAGCGACTATCAAAATAGAAGGTGAGATCAGTCTTGCTAGTAACTCTTGAGACACTTACTCTCCTGAAGAAAATGAGGTTTTGTGTCATTCAAGTTCCCCTTATTTTTCATGCTTCCTAACTCTTCCATCCTGGTTTCTGAAGTCTGGCTCTGGTTTCAGTGTCCAGCTATTTCTCATGACACAGCAAGGACGAAGGCTGAGCTGAGAGGAGGCCACTTCAGTCACCTGAGTCAGATCACCTCAGGTTACACTGAAATACAGGGAACATGATGTGGAATCAATGCAACACTGCTTAGAACACTGAGTACTAGGAGGTGACCAGAGAGTTTAAATCTGAAAAATGAATAATCTTCTAACATTTATCTCCTAACATTAAAGTCTTACCCAGTCTGAAACTTGCTGTGAACATTCCATGGGCTTTCATTGGGAATTTATCATGTTTACCGTGGTAGGATCACGCTGCTTAAAGTGAATTCATGCTGTATTAACAGGATTGAAGGAAAACCTGAAGAATTTTTAGTTCATACATAGCCAATATACAAGAAGGATAAAAAAGATCCTACAGAAAAAGCATCAGCCTTACACCTTTGCTGCCTGCTGACATCAAAGCATTTCTGTAAGCATCGTGGTAAAAGAGTTATATCAGGTGTCTGGATTAAAACAATGGAGCTTTGTGTATATTTAGAGGCAACTGATAATTTAAGAAGTAGCACAAGGAATATGAGAGATCCTTATTTGCAGGCAGAAAAAGGGAAACTGCATTATACTAAAGAAATCTTTTTTTTTCTTTAACAAAACCATCAGAACATTTTCTAGGAAGAAGGAGAGCACAGTTAAGAGACATTTTGAAGACAGTTAAGGCTGCAGTTGTGAATCTCTTAGGCTTACTATTAACAGGACTAAAAGAAAGATTTGCCTGCAGTACTTGTGTGGAAGGAATAATAGAACCTGAAAGCTAACAGATGTCACAGAAACAACAGAAACAACACAATGCTTTCACATTCAAGCAAGAGTCTGGTACAGAATAAATATTTTAGAAGAAGCAGAATTAACAAGTATTAACAGTGGTGAAGATTTTCTCTACAGGTTATTCTACAACTCTTGTATTACGCTCTTTTCTGCATGTATTGGGAAAGGGGAAGAGGAAGGAAAAGTTGTTGGCTCTTTTGAGTAGAAAAGCAAGAGGAATAAGTCAGTTAAGATTATTAAGAACCATATGGACTTCGAACAAAAGTGAGAAGTTCAGCTATGAAAGCTGGGTACCCAAAGAGAACAGACAGGGAAGTGAAAGCTGCTCTGTTACAACACAGTTTGAGATTTTTGTAAATGCTTTCTTGTCAGATCAGTTAATCACTAAAACAGTTCTTTATTAGAAAACTTCTCAGTGTGATCTCCACTGGTCGTTAATAGGTTAAAGAAAACAATCCAATTATACAGAGTTTAGAGACAGAAGCCAGTCCTCTGCGAGGGGGAGTGGCTTCTGCTGCTCCTGTGGGCACTGAGAGTTGGGTGTGACCAGGACTATGGCCACTGGAATTTCAGAAACTTTACAACACTGTTTACAGTCCTAAGAAAGTTCTTGCACTGATAGGTATGGAGATAAGAGAATCAGATGCAATCTGATTCCTTCATGTGTTCTTTCCCCTTAAATCAATTAATTTAAAAGTCATGCAGGTGGTTCTTAGCAAGGATTCAACATTTTAAACCAGATTCATGTAAGTCGAAGAAAGGTTCGGGTTAGAAAAAAAATATTTTTATGGAATGTGTCAAATCAGTGATTTAAATGATGGAATTAATGAAAAAGATGCACCAGAATCTTCCAATACAGGTTAAAGAGTCACAGCTCTTAAGTCAGGATTTTATACCTCTGCTACGACTGCAAAATCCATTTATTCTTCATTTAACAGAAATCAGCTGTTTAAACTACAGCTTGATTGCAAAAATAACTGGATACACTTCAGTTTGGGCTGCAATTGTGTAGGTACTAACAGTGAGAATGTACTGAGACATCTCAAAACATTAATGTATTGTAATTATGGATGTCCATAAAGTGAAGGGGATGTCCAGATGGCTTTAAATCAGAGGATTATGGGTTTAGACTGCCCCTACTAGATCTTAAAGTGAAAAAGCAGACTTTTCATTTTTGCATAGCAGATCTGTTTATGATGTGGCACAGTACATAAAAAATTCAGGGCTAAATATTTCATTTTCAGAGAATTATGAATTTGAAGCACCACTTATGGCCTGTCATCAGCCTGGTAGTGTCACCATATAAGCAACCATAGGAAAAGAGCTGTATGAAGATCATTTCTGGGCGTTGTGGCAGTGATGCTGGGGGAAGATGTGGGTGTGGACAATCTGAAAACAGGTTGTAGATTCTGTATCTTAGCTGCACTACATAACTTCAAAAGTTACTGTGATATTAACATTCACTGTATAATGCCCTATTGAACTGGTCAGTAGCAGCAGAAACTTAGAAGCCATGGAGACTTTGTTAAGCATTATAACTAATGAATTACATTAATGTCCGTTAAATTTAAAAATATAGCCAAGAAGCTTCAGCTGTGCTGTGGAAGGGAAGGTCCCAGTTAAACTGAGGGAAGCATTTAGCAGGGAGGTTTTTCCATGCCTTGTTCTCTCCTGCCACCATGTGGCTTTTCCATTTAAAAAACCTTAGACCTAATTGTAATACCCTCGAAGGCACTGAAACGAGTGGTGAGGTACTTTGTTCACTGTTTAAGTTGTGAACCATAGTTAAGGTTCAAGTAATTGAAGCAGGAAGGTTCACAAAACCCCACAACATTATATTAAGCATTCAAGTTCTACTCATTTCAGAGTGACCTAATTGGTCTTTTTCTTACTTTTCAGGAGCCCAAGCCCCCACTGTTTCAAGCATTGCATAAATTACGTGAGCTGAGAATATTTGACAGAATATAATTACCTCAAACCAGTTTGTGAAAAGTCTATGCTGAAAATTACTTTTTTTTTCTTCCCAACAAAACCATCAATAAGCATTTTGAGCTGGACCATGGCTCTTGAACCTGAGTAGCCCACATCTCATCCCAGGTGATAGGATTGATTTATAGGCTCTTGGTAGTCTTGAGGTGGTCTCAAAAATTTTCAAAAGATCTTGACTTCCTTGAGGTTAATTAGGAATGGTTCTTGTAGTGTTGAAGATGTCTATGATAAGAAAATCATAAAAGCATTTCCTTTCAGAAAAAAAATAAGTGTTAAGAATACAGCAGAAAACAGAATCAATGAGATTTGGTTGCAAATTCCCTTCTTTATAGCAATGTTTAGTTTCTGTATGTAATGCTTTTACTGTCTATGAACAGGGCTTGGCTTAATTAATCCTATTATATTTGTCACATTGAATAGCATTATACTAATTGACTAATCCTACCTTTAAAAAGATCAGAATCAGAAGAAACTGATTTTGCTGAAGAACTTCTTGTAAGCACTTCTGGGAAGAAGAGTTCACAAATGAAAGGGTTCTACCCATGCTTTCCTTCAATATCCATTCTACCCCAAGACTCGTGTTGTATATCACACTAAACCCCAGCCATTTGACTTTGTTCTGATGACTAAAGTAACATGAAAATTGAAGCTCTTCTGTCTCTCTGGGTTCACTCTGTGCTCCTGTTGTTTGTTGTTGTGCAGACGGGGCTGGTCCAGGTGTGATGCCAGGGAATGGATGTGTGTGTCAGGGTCAGGATCAGGATCAGGTCCATGGACAATACCCAGCATCAGACACAGCCAGTGATCCCCAGGAAGGACCCCCGTGGTGAGTCAGGGCTGAGGTCACATCAGGAAAACAGTCCCCAGGCCAGGGCCTGGATCAGCCAGGTCCATGGCCACAGGCATGGTGGAACTCCAGCAGGCATTCCAGAACTCCAGCAGGCATTCCAACAGCACAGGGCAGGGAGGGGGGAAGTTCCAGGCCTGATTTTGTGTGGGCTCCAGGACCTATAGGCAGGGTCTGCAGGGTGGAGCTAATCAGAGTCATTAAGGATCATTAGTGCACTCAGGGACCTGTTAGATTCTCAGCAGCAATGGAAACACAAGGAACAGCAACGGGATAGCACAAATTATTCATGGAATAATGCCCACAAGCCACAATTGTAATTTTGTGTAACGGGTTAAGTTTGGGAAACTTTGTATAAAGAGGAGGAGCCTCTTAGAAAAAACTATGTTATTTTTCCTTTTTAACACCTCAAGGTTGCTACTTTTTCACTTATACTTACATTCCTTGTAACTTTAATATTACATCTGGAGAAGAATTGTATTAGAAGAACCAGAATATTTTTCCTATGTCTAACCCTTTTTCTTTCCTTAATTCTTCAAGTTTCATCACAGTTTTTATGTCTTTGAATAACAGAAAGATACTTTGTTCCTTCTGAGATCCAAAAAATACATCTTAACTTTTCCCCATTGGAAATACATGGAAATTCTGTGAGTGCAAGAACTAGGAAAGCATACACTGCTCTGATCACAAAGATGTTATCACACACAGCACTGAGGATTTTACCTGCTTTGGGTCACTGAACTTTGGCTTGAGTTAACCAGACAATTAAATAGCCAGTGGAACTGATTGGACATGTGATATGATCTTTCATTTCATTTAAATGAATGCCATGGGTTGAATAAAGTTAAATATTTAGCATCCTGAGCACAAGAGCAAAAAATGAAAAATGCTTGGTATGTGTTTAAAAATATAATGATGCATTTCTCAACAGCAAGTTCATATTGCACTGGCTATGGGGTGCTTGTTGCTCTATAATATAACACATAGTTTTAGGCACACAGAGGGGTAGTGATGTTATTTTAATGTTTCAAATTAATGGTGTTATCCACAAATGTTAAGGTATGTCAAAGAGAATTAAACTGTTTAAGAACTCACAGATCATTTTCCTGCCTTTTTTGCCAATAGGTGAGGTGAGCAGGCCTTGAACTGACTTGAAGGCATGGTCTGTTTTACACTTTCCTCACACACAAATTCCACCTTACAATAGGGGAGATGACACCCATTTCTGTGCTTCAGCTGTTTTTATAGTTTCTTAGTTCCTAAATGTTTGAAACATCTTGGAAACACCACTTCTGAAGAAGCTGGGGCCCTGCTACCCCTGTGCCAGCCCCTCCAGCTCTGCAGTGCTGAGTTTCATTGCATCCCTGGCATCCCTGGAATACTGAGACAGGAATTCTAGAGCATCCCCTAACAGGCTTTTTATCGAAGTATTAGCCTCAAAGAGTTACCTTCTCTTCTGGGCCAGTGTACATAGGAAAGCTTTCCAGTGTTAATCATTAACACAGTAGTGCTAAAAGAATTGTTTGGATCTATGAACATTCAGCAGAGTTTGAATTTGCTAACATGGAAGACTCTGCAGGTTTCTGGATTCTCATGAAAATATGCAGAAGTGGCATACAGTCACTGCTGCTGGGAACAGCCCTTTTACAGTGTATGTGTATCTGTGTATGCACAGAAAATATATTAGAAATCAGGAGTAAACTGAGTTTCTGCTTATAAAATTCAGAGATTCATGATTTTCTTTCTTGTACAGTATCATATAGAATCAGATGAGTTTATTATGGTGAAGCCTATTTGATCTGATTTGATTTGGTCTATTACATTTCCTTTCCTGTTTTACAGTTGACTGAATTTTTCCCTTGGGATATGGAGTCAGGATTAAAGTAAAACAGCAAGCTTTAGTCCTTCAAGTCTTTTGCCAAAGTAAGGCAGAGAAATGTAAAATTTCCTATATCTCACTAACAGCTTTGAGGAAAGAACAACTTCCCTGCTACATATAGTTAACCTCAGCATGGATCAAAAAAAAAATTAAAAAGGTGAATTGTGCACAGTGCTCCTCTGAGTATAAATGTTAATTAGGCAGCTTTGCTCCTGGCACATGGATATTACTTTATATGACCACAATATCAAACAGAAGAGATTCAGCAATAATCAGCTTTCTGTCTCATGATCTTAAAACAATGCATAGAGGTTTCTTTCATTTAGTATATTGCAATAATTGCAGCAAACTAATTTAATGGAAGAAATAAGAAACAACACAGAGTAACAAGTCTCATTATTTGCATACTTAGGAGACTTCCTGAAGCTGGAAGTAAACAGTGGTTTTGGTATCGAAATTCCCTGCATGCAATCTTTGTCTCCATCATTAACTGGCAGTTTACTGTAAACATCCAAGTGTGAATATGGCTCCAGGTTGGATTTTAAATTCAATACCAATTAATTTGAGCAGGGTTTTCTAGGTTTAAGGGATAGGATGAAAGACAGAAAACACAGGATATCAAGACAATCTCTTCCTTCGAGCATTTGAAAAGTAGATTTTTGTTTTTCACGGATTTTCAGTGTAGAAATGTGCGTTATTGTTTCTGTGGAAGCCACTAGAGAGCAGCAGACACTTCAGGAGTGGCCAGTCATGAAGGTAACTAGTGAACTGACAGCGAGATGATCGATCAGGTCATTTTGGTAAAGGAGGCAGAACTGGGACACTACTTGCATGATTTTCGTACAGATACATTCTGTGTGTTTGCTTGGTACACTTGCAAGCAGACAGTACACATTTTCGGGTGCAGTTCTACAGGTTCTTTCTTTTCACTGATCTCCAAAGTGGTGTCAATTCCATTCATAACTTTAAGTAAGTGCTTCATCATCTTCATCACAAATAACACTTCACCAGCTTGAAAGAGGAGAAGCATAAGAACAAATCATTGCTAGTGAAAAAGTTTCTCTAATTAGATATTAGTCACTTCTAAAATACAGGGTAGATTACAATCTGGTGTGTCTCTAAAAATGTTTACAGATATTGCTCACCCTTCAGTGTTCTTGCTGAAAAAAAATCTGTCTGAACTGGCCCTTTGATTTCAGCATCAGCAGAGAGATGAAGCTTAAGGAATGTGGAAATTAAATCTAGCCTTGACTATTACAGATTATGTCATATTTCCTCTGTAGACAGATTCAGCCTTTAAGAATGTATTTTTGTACCTTTTAAAATCACTTTCTTCTGTAGGTCTTCAGAGTAGGATCAAAAATATGCATGATAAAGCTAGTTGTTTTGATAGTGAAGGTTCCCTGTATACCCTAACCAAGCTTTGCCATGGCTGGAGACAGGATTCCTATATTATCCTAAGAACAACCTGATGCTTGCAGTCACAGCCTGCATTATTTTCCCACACTGCTCACCCCCTCCTCCTTCCTGGGGAAGAAAGGAAGGAGAATGGAGATGACCTTCAGTTATGCTGGGGATAAAAAAAGTGAGAAAGGGAATTTTAACATTGCCAAGTAAAAAAAAGTACACAAGCTGTTGGGTTTTTTTCCCCAGACCACAAAGTTCTGGTGGGTGAACTCTTCTGTTGCCCTAATTTTTTAGGGGTTTCCATGTATTTTCCAAGGAATTTCTACTTTTAGAGGTTCCATGTATTTCTGCTTCCATGGTAGAAGTGTAAATTTGGTTTCCCAGTTTCAGAGTCTCCCTTTGGTCCATTGTTTTGACCATTTGAAAATGTGCCTCCAAGTAATAGGAAACCTCGGTCTTTTTGTTGGTGGGATCACAAGCTTTGCAGCAAGTGTGACTGACATACCAAACATATCTGCCTCTGACAGGTGGGAGCTGCTCTGCCCTCGGGGCAGGGTTGGCAGAGTTTGGGTTGGCGAGTCATTCATTACTGGGGGGAAGAGCTTCAGTTTTAGCCAGGGGTGCAATTAAGGCTTTGTGTCAATTTAGGATGCAAATTAAGAGAATCAGCTGAAAAGTCTTTTCTCAGAATCCTGACCAGACTGACCAAAATGGCTGGAGCTCTTTGGAGTTTAAAGTTTTAGGTTGCGAGAGGAATTATTAAGTAGATACTTTAAATACAGCTTTCCTTTCTTGCTGTGATGATCACGTTTTTACATGTGAACCAGCTCATATGCTG